CTCTCTCTCTCTCTCTCTCTCTCTCTCTCTCTCTCTCTCTCTCTCTCTCTCTCTCTCTCTCTCTCTCCCATCTCTCTTTCTCTCTCCACATTGTCGCAGTATTCGATGCGCACAGCACCCCCACCCACCTCCCATTATCACGTCGCTAATCACGATCCGTGTGCCATCGCAGTGGTTACACATCAGCAGCGATGATACGATAAACACCAACGCGTCGAACGACTTCGAAGCTATTGCATTACGCAAAAAATCATGTGATAATTAATCGTTCAAACTAGCTCATGACATCCCTCTCAGATCGTCACCGTCAAATCATTAACGAACGCTTCTTGCTTAGGAAATTCGACCATCGCAAATATACCTGTTGCTAGTGTCGCAGACATACTTTAGCACACAAATGTGTGCAGATGTCTACGACTGGTGCCCCTTCAGTGGCCCTGTCTCTTACAAGCTTTGTTTGTACACCTACTACTGTTAGCTTCGTGCGCGCGAGCTGACATGCGCATGCGCGTACGCATGCGCAATGACCGGCGCAGAGAGCTTTTCCCAGAGCATATAAATCAACAAGATATCATCATGTTGATTTATATGCTCTGCTTTTACTGTAATTCGTCAACAACAACATAAATACACATTGAACTGCATATATACACCTTTTAAGTGCGACTCTTTGAACCTAGTTAAGTTAAGCGTTAGTATTTTCAGGCGCTAGCCATACTATCGGAGTACGTCACATTACGTTACAGTAAGAAGCTCTATAACAAAGTTTTAATATAAGAGTTACACCAACCAACGCATAACAATAATGGTAACATCCCCAAAACAACAATTCTTGGAAAAACAAGCAAAAATTATTTTCCTAGATATTTAAAATGGTATTCCTATAACTTTTCCTATATATGTATATATATATATATATACCAAGTCACTCCTTATACCATATGAATCGCAGTTAATCTAACATACGAAGGGCAGGGCAAGACGTTTACATACGATACACAACAGAATGTCAGAATGTGCGAATAGGAACATGCCTGCCCGCCCTCTAGCGGACTGTTGACACATCATCGAAACAATGACTAAACCCCAATCGCCATGACCTGCGACCGCTTTATGAAATATGGATATGATCACTATAACTATAACCCTGCCAGAGGGTACTAGTCTAGATATATTGCTAAGGGGGTTATTGAACAGTTAATGGTACTTCTACCACAGTCTCTGCGTGCTCTCACTCATCTGTTTTCACCCATCTGTTTGTACGGGTTGCTTCTTGGTTAGGATGCGCGCATGTTACGCTCTTGTTCTCTCTTTCTCTCTCTCTCTCTCTCTCTCTCTCTCTGCTTTTAGCTCTTGCTCTTATTGTCATTGCTATACAATTACTGAAGGTACACAGTGATACGTTCGCAGCAGGCAAAACCTATATATTATTACTAGCAAGGAGCAAAGGGCGAGCGTGAAACCACGTCACCACAACGACGTTGGCCGACCCAGTGAGATTCGATTGACTTTAACCTTACGTGTATTCACATTTATATAATCGCCACCTCTGCAGAGATGCAGAGAACGGGGATGCGCACGGGAAAGGCATTTTCTACAACACCGTATCGTTTCATTAATCTAATGCAAAAATTAAATTTATTTTCTACAATAACAGTCACATGTACACTATATATATATACGGTGGGTTGTCAACACCATAACTGGATAATAACAACGATATATAAGCGGATAAATCAACAACGATATACTTCGTATCACATTTAGCAGACGATACTGTGTGTTCCCTTCCATTGTTCTCCCAAACACTATAGCCTAGCTCTCCCAGTGACAGTAAAACAGCACCATTCGTGGCTGTATATATATATACAGTATATATACTGTATATTACCGAGACAATCTGCAAAAATACAAGCATCTAACAAGTAACTAACGCTGTGTTACTCACGTGACCAGTGACGTATATTAAAAAACGCGTTACTATACCACTAACATCAAACTCGGCGTAGCCATAGTAACGCGCGCGTTGCGTATACGTAACATAATATATTACATAAAACAAACTTGTTTTACATTTATGCATCACCGCTCTACCCTGTTGTTACCGATGGCTTCGTTGAAGACATCGTTGCCATTGCCTGGCGAAATGTTACCCTCCGTAAACCACATATCCGTGTGCAATATCTTCCGACACCGTTCCTTACTTGCTATCTGCACGAAGTCACTGACTATCTTACCAGGGGCCCGTTGTCAGAAACTAAATTAGTCTCAACATTAGTTTTAACATTAACTTCCACTCGTAACCTCGTAAGCTGCGACGTTTTTCTGTCAACGCTCCCTTCGTAACATCAACATTAGTCGCAAATGCTATCTTAGCGTTAAAATTAGCATTAACTTTACGATGTTTCCGACAACGGCCCCCAGATCTTTAATATAGTTCGGGCAATGATACACCATGCAGCCACGGCTGCACACGCATTATCTAACCTGACTTGTGGCGGCTATAAGATTAAAGAATAACACTGTCTTTGCATGTGATCCAACCGGCAAACCATGGCCCTACCCTCCCTTCCTATGTACTTCCTGCCCTCGCCTTCCCACGTACATTACATGTCCATGTACACGGCTTTCTATGAGCCTGCCTGCCTTTGCATATGCCTTCCCTTCATGTGCAATCACATTCCTGCGCATTTCACCCAGTACTCATACGCTCACATTTTTCTATTACAAATCCCTTTACAAATACAAACACAGCTCATCTGCATTTATTCGAAACTCGAGCCTTAAAGCATGTGCAACTCCGTTTGGAGTTAGCGCACGTATATAAAGAGATATGATCGAGATGGGGCGACGAACACAGTAGGTTATGGCCAACATGTTCTGCTTGCATCTATGACAAATACGACATACGCATATATGCTCTCCTATGACACTATTTGTCATAGGAAGATTCTTCCTATGACAAATATTGGCGAGTCAACTTCGTTCCGCTTTACAGCTGAAATTCACTGCTTGCGTTCACAATAGCGCTCCTACACTCCTATGATGCGCACAACACACCTTCAACAATATTTGTCATAGGAAGAATCTTCCTATGACAAATAGTGTCATAGGAGAGCGTATATGCGTATGTCGTATTTGTCATAGGAAGATTCTTCCTATGACAAATAGTGTCATAGGAGAGCGTATATGCGTATGTCGTATTTGTCATAGATGCTAACAGAACAGGCTGTTATGGGAGGGCGCGGGCTTAGTGCTGCCCTCCTTATCCTGCAGAATATCTCTACATTTTATTCCACGGGTGTACCGATCTCTGCCAACTTACAACATTCATTGAATCAAGAGAGCATAGACACGTAACAAATAATAAAGCGCTCATGTGCTCTTGATTGGATTGATAAAAGTCAGAAAGTCTCTGTGGCAGTGGGAAACTATGATATATAAGAGGGATACGAGCTGTACACGTAGAATCGATAGCGACACCTGTACGCGACAGACATTTAAAACACTGTAGACTTACTACACTCTCACGAGTTGC